TGGGCCTCACAGCAGGAGGACTGGTTCACATAGTAAAACATCCTGGTGTTTCGTGCATTGCTGATGACCAGTCAAGTTTGAGACCTAAGACATAGTCATATGCGTTACTGCAACCTTTAGTCTTAAGGTCGTTGTTCCAGCTTCACAGGGAAGGTGTGTTTTCCGCTCAGTCTTTCCGCAGCCCTATGTCTGTACTGTCACACACCATTATCCAGTCTCAAAACCAGGACGCCGACATTGGTACAATCTGTAGACCCTATCTTATTTCCGTTTCCTCGTGTACTCACTTTCCTGGGTGTCTTTAAGGTATGTACGTGTGAGAACTCGGCAGCTTTATCACACGAGTATGTTGGAGAGTCGCTGCTACGGTTAAGACAGAGAAGTGTTGTAACCCGGACGGAGAGGTCACAAGACCAGAAACTGGAAGTGGGGGTGGAAAGGAAACATGCTTGAGTGTAGGGGCGGTGGGGTCTGGCAACGGTGAGTCATTGCAGAGGACTTCTTGACATCAGCAGTAGGTGCTGACCGGGGGAGGCTCGATGCAGGGCCCTGGCGGACAATTACGGGTCCTGCAGATGAACCCGTCGGCCCTGAAGTGATTACTTCAACAATAGGTCAAACAGTTCACAAGGGAATGACCCCTCTCCCCAACAGCAGCACTCCAGCGGAACAGGTCCTGGCCTGGCCCGGCTAGCGTGTGCCCGTGCCGGCGGGCGCCTCTGCCAGGCCCGTCCCTTTCCACGGCAGGAATTAGCCCCCGCGCCCGCTGGGTCAGCGACCGGGTCTTGCCCTACGTGGTCCCTGCTACGCTGTGCTGTTGGGGGTCACCTTTGCCTGTGCCCATGTCTTCATCTCCTTGGCAACCACGCCGTGTGCCACTCAAAGGGGAACTCTGAAACTTTCTCAGAGGGAACCCGCGGACCCCACTCAGTGGATGCCATCACCTCATCACCTCATCACCCTAAGGGGCTCCCTGGTGCCTCCTTTCTCCTTCCTGGCCTTTCCTAACCCCAAGCAACCACTAATCTGTCTAACCCCTCTCTCTGCCTTTGCAAGGCTGTGACGTAAATGCGGTCGTGTCCTTTGAGGCTGCTTTTTTTCACGCTGCTCTCCAGATTCCCCAGGTTGGTTGTCAGTGTGTCAGTAGCTGCTGTTTCCAGCTGACGCTGTTCCAGGGAGCATGTCTCGTGTAGGCAGCCACTCACGGAGGGCACTGGCTGCTTTCCAGCTCTTCGCTGCCACAGGTAAAGCGCAGCAGGCACAGGGTTTCTTCTGGGCGGGCAAGTGCCCGGGTGGATGATTGCGGGATCGGATGAGGCGCTTCCATTTGGACTTTTAAGAAAACAGCTAAACGCTCTCAGTGGTCTCCCAGGCTTACATCCGCGCGGCAGTCCAGGGCCACCCGCTCCTCAGTGCCTGTCCAGTCCCGTCTTCCCTCCTCTGGCGCACACGTGGGAGCCCCTGAGGCCTGAATCTGTTTCCCTGGTAGCTCGTGATCTGAAGCCCCCTTTCATGTGCCTGCTTGCCATCCTTATGTCCTCTTTGGTGAGATGTCTGTTCATGTCTTTTGTTCATTTTCCAACTGAATTGTTCCTTCTGAGATTTCATAGTTTTCTTTATATATTGCAGATACAAATCGTTTGTTAGATCTGTGGTCTGCAAATAGTTTGTCCTTCTTGTTTTTTCATTCCTTAACAAAGTCTTTAGGAGAACAGAGTTTTAAATTTTAATGAATCCTAGTTGATTAAAAAAAAATATAGGTTGAGCCTTGGGTGTTAGTTTTAAGAACCTTCGCCTAACTCTGGGTGTGGAAG